AGACTATTTTTAAGAATACCATTATTTTTTGGGGGGTGTTGGGGATTTAGCTCAGTGGTAGAGCGCTTGCCTAGCAAGCGCAAGGCCCTGGGTTTGATCCTTAGCTCCAGAAAAAAAAAAAAAAGAATACCATTAATTTTTTTTTATTTACTGCTTTCGCTGAATTGATACATACAGATGCTAACACTTCCATTTCCACTTCAAATGTTCAACAAGTTTTTGGGTTTTTTTTTTTCTTTCTGTTTTTATTTTTATTTTTTAAAGTACTGGCATTATAGGAACACTATACCTCCCTTGGCTCTCAAGTCATTTTTATTTTGCTTTTTCCAAAAAGCTAATTATAGCTGCGTGGTGGTGCCACATGCCCTTAACCCCAGCACTCAGGAGGCAGAGGCAGGTGGTGAGTCTGAGGGAGTTCCAGGACAGCCAGAACTACACAGAGAAACCCTGTCTTGAAAAACAAACAACAACAACAACAACAAAACCCAAAAATCGAATTATCATCAAGATTTCTTCAACTTGAAGATGGACACTTGAATGAAGGACACTTGATTCCTATTCTTAGTAATGACGTCAACAGGTTGAAGAAACTTCTTATAGTGACTACTTTGTTTCCTAACATTAAGAGAAAGCTCTGCTAGCAGAGTCACAAAGTACCGAAGGGGAGAAAGGAAATCTTGTCAGTTTATAGAATCAAACAAATGTATAAAAAAGCATCTGTTAGGAATAAAAAAGTCAGTCAATAAACAACAGAAACACAAACGTATGATTCAACAAAATACAGTTCTCTGTGTGCATTAATCTATGACTAAATAATGATTTGGAACAGCTAAGCTGGTAACGGAATGGCTTTCAACTGCTTGCAAGTGAGAAAAGTTGGTGGAGTATTTTACTTCATTTTACTTTGTGGCAGGGTCCTGCTATGCCCTAAAATGCACACTGTTCCTGCTTTAGTCATCTGAGTGCTGGAATTACATGAATGTAATTGTAAGCATGGCCTGTTCTGACAGATTATTATTATTACCTGCAATATGGGCAGGCTTACAGTGTTTGGTACATACTAGGACTCAGAAGATAACTAATAAGGAAATAATTAAACGGGGCTGGAGAGAGAGAGCTCAGTGGTAAGAGTGCTCACTGCTTTTGCAAAGGAAGTAGATTTAGTTAACAGCACCTACAGAAGCTTACATGGATCTGTAAGTCCAGCTCTAGGGTATGTGGAGCTCTTGTTTGGCTTCCACAGGTATCAGGCATGCAGGAGGTACACATACATACATGAAGGCAACATTCAAACACATAAGATAAAAATAAGTCTTTCAAAAATAAATAAGGGTCTTCACATTTTAAATAGAACAGTAAGACATGAGGAAAAAAAAAGCAAAAGAGGACATAACTAGGAAGAGGTCAAGGTCTCCTTACTCACAGATGGTAAAATTCTATACATTAGAACTGTGTGAGTTACTTTTCAGTTGCTGTGGTCAAACGACACAACAACACGAAATGATTCATGGGAGAAAGAGTTTATGTTGGCTTTTTTGATTCCGGAGGTCTGAGAATCCATTATGACGTGAAAAGCATGGCAGCATGGCAGCAGGAGCAGGAAGCTGAGAGACCACATCTTTTACCACAAGCACAGAGAAAAGGAGCAGGAAGCTGGGCAAGGGTATACTCTCAAAGCCCGCCCCCAGTGACATACTTCCTCCAGCAAGGCCACACCTCCCATACTCTACAGATAGCGCCACCAACGGGGGATGGGGGGGTGGGTAAGGGGATGAGGGGGTGGCAGGAACCAAGTGTTCAAATGCCTGAGCCTATGGGGTACATTTCTCATTTTAATCACCACAAAGATCCTAACGACTAATAGAAGACTCTTAGATATGATAAACACTTTCAGCAAAGTGCCAGGCTACAAAACTAACACACAAAACTCCAAAGCCTTCCTGTATATCAATGACAAATAATGAAAACTAAATCAGGGTTTGTGAATACAATCCTATTCACAATTGCCTTTAAAAAAAAATAAAAACAAACAAAAGCCCTTGGACTAAACCTAAGGAAATTAAAGACGACAATGAAAACTTACATACTGAAAAAAAAAAAAATTAAAGACACCAGAAGGTAGAAAGACTTCCCACATTCATTGATTACAAAAAGTAATATTGTGAAAATGGCTATTCTACCAAAATCAATCTATAGGGTCAATGAAATCCTCATAAAAATCCCAATGCCATTCTTTACTGAAATAGATAAAACACCCTTGAGACTCCTACGGAAGCACAAAAGACGCCAGATAGCCAACCAACCCTGAGCAGAGAGGATGCTGGGGAACAGAGAAAATGGCTCAGTTACTAATGTGTCTATGTGCAAGTATGAGGACTGAGTTTGGATACCTAGAGCCTACACAAAGCTAGGGACAGTGTGCACATCTGTAACCTCAGCTCTGGAAGCGGGTGATAGGCAGGTGGATTCCTGAAACTCACTGGCCAGCTGGCAGCCTAGTCAAATCGATGAGCTCCAAGCTTAGTGAGAGACCTTGTCTGAAAAAATTAGATGGAAAGAGATGGAGCAAGACACTTGACGATGACCTCTGGCCTCCACATGGGCACACGAGAACCTAAATGCTCATGTGAATACACCCACACAAATATGTACACACAATACACCTCCACACACACATGAATGCTGTTAAAACCATCACTTTATTTGATTTCAAGTTATGGTTTAGAGTCATAGTTATTAACTAATAAAAATCAGCATAGAACTGGCAAAACAAAACAAAACAAAACAAAACAGGTATACAGGTCAATGGAATAAAATAGAGGGCTCAGATATAAACCTGCATAACTACCATCATTTGCTTTTTAACAAAGATGACAAACAGAATTATACACTGGAGAAAATGCAGCCTCTTTGATATATGGCACTAGGAACACTGGATATCCACATGCAGGAGAATGAACCTAAATCTCCACCAAACACCCTGTACAAAAATCTACTTCAAATGGATAGGAGACCTTAATATAAGACTGACAGTCTAAAACCATTAAAAACACTTCAAGATACAGGCATGGGTAAGGACTTTCTAGTAGCTCAGGAAATGATGCCAACAACTGACAAGTGAGAGCCATGAAATTAGAAAGCTTCTGAACAGCAAAAGAAGCAACTATGTGAAGATACTGCCTTGGGATGGGAGGAAGATCTTGCTATCTGCATCCAACAGAACATTAAAACCTAGAATACACAAAGAACTTTTAAAAAAAGTAAAAAGAATCAACCCAATGTCTTAGTCAATGTTCTATTGCTGTGAAGAGACACCATGACCGTGGCAAACCTTATAAAAGAAAACATTGAATTGGGGCTTGCTTTTAGTTTCAGAGGTTCAGTCCATTATCTTCATGGTGGTGAGCATGATGGCATACAGACAGACGTGGTGCTGGAGAAGTAGTTGAGAGTTCTACATCTGGTCCACAGGTAGCAGAAGAGAGACAATGGGCCTGGCTTGGACCCTGGAAATCTAAGTCCACTTCCAGTGGCACACTTCCTCTAACAAGGCCACACCTCTTAATCCTTCTCAAGTAGTGTCATTCCCTCCGAACCAAGTATTCAAATCTATGAGCCTCTGGAGGCAATTTTCATTCAAACCACCACACTAATAGATAAATGGTCTAATGAGATGAATAGACAGTTCTGAAGAGGTGAAGCAAAAATGGCCAATAAGCATGTGGAAAAAAAAGTTCATCCTCACTATCATAGCAATACAAATTAAAACTACATTGAGATTCCATCTCCTAGTCAGAATGGCAGTCACTAAGAAAAGAAGCAACAATAAATGCTGCCCAGGATTTGTTGGGGACAAAAGAGAACCTTCACACACTGCTGTTGACAATGTGAACTAGTGTGGCCACTATGGAAATCTCTACAAAGGTTCCTCAAAAACACCAAAACCAAATCTACTACATGACCCAGATATATCATTCCTAGATATTGACCTGAAAGACTTCAAGTCAACATTGAAGAAATATTTGCACACTAGTGTTTATTGCAACACCATTCTCAGTAGCTAAGCAATAAAACTAAGTTTTCATCAACAAACATATAGTATATATGCACAACAGAAGCTTTTTTAGACAAATTTTATATAACCCAGGCTAGTTTTGAACTTGTTATATGGCTGAAGATCACTTTTTACTACTTCCATGTCCTGAGTGCTGGAATTACAAATATTCACCACCACACCCTGTTTATGAGATGCTGGGAACTGAACCTAAGGCCTGGCAAGCATTCTACCAAAGGAGCTAATTTCCCAGACACAATGGAATTTTTTAAACCATAAAGAACAAAGATGCCATTTGCAGAAAAATGGATGCAAGTAGAGCTATTACGTTAAGTCTACCTAAAAAGAAAAGTATCACATTTTCTCTCATTATTGGTTTCTAGATTTGATATAAATACATAAAATCACGTATGTACATATGACACGAAAGCAGAAGCAAAACTGAGTAGGGGAACAAAGGGGACAACTGGGAGGACAGAGAAAGGAGAAGGCAGGGGAGTGTGCTGGGGAAATACGATCAAAAGTAAAACAAAGATCAACAGAGAAAAAAAGCAGTGCAGGAAGTGTCATCATTTCTTAGGAAAAAAACCTACTCCTTTACAAATTTGGAAAGTCCTTTTTTTACATGCACACTTTTCTATTTTGTTTAACTCTTAATTTTTTGATTAGCACACAAAGGGGTTTGACTGTGATATATATATATATATATATATACACCCTAAGGAAAAGTAAATAGAATGCTAAATTAAAAATTCATACATTCTAGTTATAGTTGAATAACAGCACTGGAAATATAAGCGATCAGAGCAATGTAAATGTCTTTCAAGGATTACTATTGACAACTTCAGGTGCTAGCCAAGCTCTTGAGTCCACAAAACCATTATTAAGTTTAAAGCAAATCCTTAAAGAAAAATATTAAGCAGCATAAGGGGGAGATACAACTTACCTCCACTTGGAAAAGCTCTCCCGCCCCCTCACAGTCATTAGATGTGATTACTGGGGTATGAATGTGCACAAAGCCATTGTCCTAGAAGAGAAAGGAAAACTCTTCACTACGTTTGTATGTGAAGCAATTCCAAGAAGATATGCTGCGTTTTACTATTAAAATGGCACCAACATAATACCATTCCACACATCCCTTGATTACTCTCCAAATATGTTCAAAGATCAGTTAAGTGGTTTTTTGTTTGTGGGTGTTTGGGAGGAGTTTGCTATGTACTATATAGGCCAGCCTTGAATTCTCCATTCTCCTGTCTCAGCCTCTTGTGCTGAAATTACAGACATACATTATTACATCTGGCCAGCTGAATGTTTTATTATGCATACAAGCATATAAAAAATTTTAAATGCGAAACAGACTTAGATGCATCTTGTTTAACTACTTCATTTCAAAAATAAGCAAACCCTGTCCTGGACAGACTTCATGAATTTCCAGGATAGATAACTGGTTAGCTAAGCTAGGGATGGAGCACAAGCCCTTACTCCATCTCTCTAATGCTATCTCTTCTGCCCACGTTTGAATGTACTGGCAATGGTCTAAGGAACACACAAGAATACACTTTCACCTAGGGCTAACGTGGAATGATATTGCCCACACTGCTAATGAAATGCAAAGTGAACAATATGAAGTTCAGTTGTCTTGAAATGAAACCTCAGCAGTAATGAACCATCAAAAAGGAGAAAATAAAGGCTGATAAGTAGGGACTAAAGAAATAAATAGGAAGAGGGAGAAATGACTTCAAATAAGTCTCTGTCATTCAATTGATGGCACAGGCAGTGAGTGTACTTCCTTCGCCTGAATAACAATCTGAGCAGCAGCAAACCCATCCATCACTGAGGCGCCCAACTGCAGTCCTTCCGATCAAAAGTCTGCGACCGTTTCCATTAGTGAACCACAAAAGCTGTTGCTAGCAGGATTGAAATAACCCATCAGCTTCAAGGTTATGTTTCTTTCATTTTAACTATCCATGTAGGCAAAAGGTTACATTCAGAATAGATGTGGCAGGATGGGAGCGCAGGTAGCTAAAAGAATTTACAGCACACAGGCAGAATGAGATATACACTTAATGCAGAATTTCAGCCTTGAAATCAATACAGTAAATTCGTACATCTGCATCCCTGCCAGGTTCTGCCTATCACTAGTAGAATATGAAAACATCTTGAAGCATAATCAGAGGGAGACTTTCCAAGTATGACCCTCTCTGAATTCAAGAGTTCTGACCTCAAAAGAAATTATTTAATCAACAACTTACCTAGATATAGACTGGTTAAACATTCAAGCTCTAAATTAAGGCTCCCAGAAATTATTCATTCAAGCTATAAATTAAGACTCCCAGAAATTATTCAAATATGCACTTAACCTGAAAGCAGCACATATTATAAAGGACCAATGGAATTTAATCAATAAAATTATTGCATAAAACTTTTATTTCTTATGAGCCAAGAATTATGGACATGAATCATTTATTCCACGTGAATGGAGGCGACTAAGCAGGAGCACAGTAAACAAAGGAAGGAAGGAAAAATCCAAAGGAAGTGAGGGTGGAGAGGAGAAGTGTACTGGCTAGCTGTAATTGCCAGAGTCAGAGCCGGGGAAATGCCGTGTGAAACAGCACGCAGATGGGAGGTAGATAACACGAGACTGAGAACCAAAATCTAATGAAACGTGGCGATTATTTTAATAACTAATGCCAAACTCTTCCAAGAGCCTTCTCGAGCTTTAACGCTGCCAGCAAAGCTTCTCAAAGTCCACAACCCCACCGAAAGCTACAAAGGAGAAGCTCAAAGCAGGGACGATAAAGGCAGCCCCAGAAAGTCTGGAGAAAACACGGTGGAGAGGAAGCCACAGATCAGATGGAAAGTCAAAGCCAAGCAGAGGGGAAATGTGCCAGTGCCTGTCTCACTGAGCGATGACCGGCGCCATCCCATAACAAAAGGATCCCTAGCAGGAGATGTGACAGCCAGAGAGGGGCCTGAAACCAGAAGCAGACATTTCACTGATTTTAAAAATCTCACCTACCACCTCCAAGTATTGACGCACATTTCAGAACCAGGCATTTTACAAGGTTCTTAGTACCCCAAACCTAACATTAGAAGACTAACAGGACTATATATATTCTTATCACACAAAACTAACGTAGCTTTGTCATTATTTAATCACCATCAAGGAAAACAGAAACAAGAGAGGAATTCTAATTACCAGAACACCACTGGCAACAAAAGAGTGACCGGAAGAGGAACAAGCAAGCCTGTAACACACTGCTTTTTACACTACTAAAATGCTGCAGACCGGGCCCAGACTCCGGGGCTCCATTGCAGGCTTCGGAGACACTGACAGCGGAGGACACTCCTGACATTCACGGGAAGAGCCTCCATTCACAAGGACAGTCTTCTCTACTGCCACACTCAAGGAGGACAAGGAAATCAGTATTCCATTTTAGAGGAACCCAGAAGAAACCTTCAGTTATGTGAGGAACTCGGCTCTTCTAAATGATTTAGCCTTGAGGATTCTTGTAGTTGAGTTTTATAACATAGCAAGAGTAATCTATGAGTAAATCAAGTTATACACACTGTGTATATGTGACTGTGTGTTTTTAATTGTCATTTTTAGAGTCCCATGTAACCCAGGCTTGTCTCAAACTTGCTAATGTGGTCGAAGATGACTTGAACCCCTGATTTTTCTACCTCTAGGTCATGAATGCTAGGATTACAAGCATACACCTGACCATGCCCTGTTTTCTGTGGTGCTGGGGATAAAGCCCTGGGCTTTGTGGAAACTAGGTGAGTGCTCTACCAATAGAGCTATAGCTCATCCCACACACGAAATAATTTTTGATATTCAAGCCAAAAGATAACTCTACACTGTTATAATATCCTAGCTTAAAATACTATTCAAATCCGAAGTCTTTACTACATTAATAAATGTTTGATACTTTTGGAATTTATGCAAATTTTAATACCTTTTAAGGAGCCTACAGTAATAAATCTAGGAAACAATATCAAATACTAGGTAATATGTAACCGTATTTATAAGTACAACAATAAACTTTTTATCGATTCTTGAGACACAGTCTTACTATGTAGCCCTGGTTGAGGTGATATCACTAACTATAACTTCTGGCAGTCTTCCTGTCTCAGTGTCCTGAGTGCTGGGATTATAGCCATGAACCACCACACTCTGGTTCTAGTGACTTCTTGAAAAACACAATCCTAATTGTCATGAACATAGTCAGACACCACAGAATGAAACATCAGCGTTATATTTTTTAAATATGATTAAAAGTTTAAAAGGCTAGAGAGGTGGTTCAGCATTAAGAGCATGCTTGTTTCTCTAGAGGACCTGGGTTTGAGTCACAGCACCCACATGGTGGCTCACAATCATCTATTAACTCCAGTTCCCGGGGATCTGAAGCCCTCTCTGGCATACATGAGCCTCAGAATGCATGCGTGGCACAGACATACCTCTATGCAGAACACCCATACACATAAAATATGTTTTTTAAAAAACTAAAAAGTAAATTTACACTGAAAAGTATCTTGAGTTTTTAACCACTATATTAACACCAAAATTATTTTCAACCATGTGTTTTTTATTTTTATTTCATTTTAATTATTTTCTTACTTCAGATCTTATACTTTGCTCTATATTTTAAATTGTTTTCATATTTGTAAAAGCTCAAAATAATAAATAGATAAAAGGAGGTAAAGTTCACTTGTCAATGGATTGCCAATATCACCATCTAGTGGCCAAAAAGGAATAAAACTGTTTCAGAATTAAAGCAGGTCCACTTTCTTAGTTGTTGAAAGTCATGAGGGAAACAAAACAAAATAAAACAAAACCCTTTATTTTGATCTCTAAAGAGGTTCTGTATCTGTGTGAGTCAAATACTACTAAAAATTCATATGGAAGGTGCATAAAGAAATTTGTGAGATCCTGTGTAAATAGACCCTTTCAAACCATAATGGGATAAAATTGCAAACTCTAATGTATTTTCCTTGGTTTAATCAAAACTACATGCCTTAAAGCTATGATGCTCTTGGGTAGTCTTTCAGAAATGACCTTTAGCAGACCTTTCCAAAAGCATAAAGTCTCCTGGTGAAGTAGAACAGACTGAAGCACTGAAATGCACCCAAGGGGAAGACCACAGTGTTGTACTGCCTCTGCACACTCGCAGTCGGAAGAGGTGACGCAGGAAAACAGCACGGGCTTTATCTGCTGGATCACCACTGGCCTTTGGGGGCTTCCCACTGATATGACCAAAATTCAGAGACAGAAACTGGACTTACCCTCTTATCTGGACAAGCACAAAACAAATACAACAAAAACAGGAAGCAAACCATATGAAACAATTATTTTCAAGATAGTAGACATCAAACAGAGGCAGTGAGTGATCTGTAGGTTATGAGAAACAAACCTGGCGAACGCTACAAGGCTCCCAGCGTCCTGCACTGAGATCCTTCTGGACACAGCACAGGAAGGAGGAAGTAAGGTGGGGACCAGAAGACTCCCTGAGCTGAGGAGAAACTGTCACGAGTCTGAAGAAACCAAAGTGGCTACAGTCAGAACATCAGACAGGTGAGAACAGAGGTGTGGTGCAGAACTGATCAGTACATGAGTGAAAAACTATCCAAGGCTGAGGAAAGAATAATCCAAAGAGATTAATGGAGACAGGGTCTGGTATTTGCATGCCGGTTGGATGTTCCCGCAGCCAGACTGGGAAATCTTATAATTCACAAGCTACTAGGTAGAATATTCAGGAAGGCTTTGACTAAACTATTAGAAATAACCCATACTACACTGAATACTGTTCCAGACATAAGCAAAAATTGTTGTGGAATAATCTTTTTGTACACTGTGATGATTTGTCACTCTGATTGGTTTAATAAAAAGCTGAACAGCCAATAGCTAGGCAGGCCTTTAGGGGTAGAGAGAATGCTGGGAAAAAGGCAGAGTCACCAGCCAGAGGCAGAGGAAGCAAGACATGCAGGATGAGAAGTAAAAGCCGTGAGCCACATGGCATCATGTAGATAAATAGAAATGGGTCAGAAACAAGCCTAAGCTATCAGCCAATCTTTTATAATTAATAATAAGCTGGCTGGCGGAACAGTCAGACAAAGACTTGCTATAAAAAACAGAAGACCAAAAGTACTGAAACGTTTTCAACTTAATGGTATACCAGGACAGAGCTTGAGAATCTTTCTAAATATCCTGTACTCACAAGGTAAAAATTCATAACATCTGGCATCAACTGAAAATCAGAAGGTATACAAAGAGGCAGGAAAACATAACCCAAAACAAAACAAATTAATCAAAACTTATTAAGTGACAAGCAGACTAGGCATTAGACATACATAAAATATATAGTTTTAAAACTAGGCCTGTATTTGAAAAGTTAGGTAGGAATGAAAGACATGAAAAACAAGTCCCAGCTGGGTGAGGTGGTGCCCACCTGTAATTCCAGCTACTTAGGAGGCTGAGGTAGGAGCATCACAAGTTCAAGGCCAGCCTGGGCAACTTAGTGAGATTCTGTCTCAAACAAACAAGGGTTAGGAATGGCTCTTTTGCCCACAAGTACACTTTCCAAGCATGCTTGTGGCCCTGGGTTCAATGGGCTATGTGGTATCATTAAGTGTTCTAATATGAACATAATCTCAGAGACAACAAAAAATATTTAAAGAAAAGATGGCTAAAAAAACTTCAGAAACAACCAACCAACCAACCAACCTTCAGGAGCAGGGCACAGTGACACATGGCTAACTAGTAAGGGGACTAAAATCAGGAGCATTACAAATGCCAGGGAAGCCTCGGCAAA